ATATATAAATCATACGATATCACAAAAAGGAACAAGTTGATTTATGAGTGCTACTGTCTTTTTTATAGACTCAGATGTAGACTAAGGATGTTAAGCAGCTTTCTTGAGTCCTATGCCACTAATCCTTTTGTTTCAAAGTACTACAAGCTTGGAAGTCTGTCCTGATATGATCTCTTTGAAACTGTGGCCTTTAATCTAAGATATTTCCTTTAACGTTTGTGAGCTTTCATCTATCCTGGGCTTCACCATAGTACTGTGAGTTTTTCACTTCTAAATAAGACCTCAAAAGAAGTGAGAAAATATTCTGGAAATACATGGCTATATGCTTACACTAATTACATTTTTTTTATTTCTACATGTTTGTAGTGTATAATGAATGCATTCATCATGACAAGTTATCACACATAATAACACATCTTAATTCATTTTTATGCTCTTTCCTTCCATCATCTCTATCCTTTTCCTTTTTGCAAAATTTGATTAAATTTGTGAATCTAGTGTTAACCATTGTTTACAAAACAGGAAAGATAAAATAGCCTGGATGTTTAAGTCCCTTTGAAAGATTTTGACTTAACATTTGATTTTCCCAATTGTTATGGTCTGTGTCTAAATGTCCCTCCAAAACTTCATGTTGCGATAGTTTTTCAGAGGTGGCTGAATCTAGAGTGTGTGATTAATTGGCGGTGGAATGCTGGGACAATGGGCCCTGGGGTAACAGTGGGTGAATGCTGGATCAGTTCACTGATTGGACTGACACAGCCCTAACCTGGATAAAGTATAAGAGGGGCAGTAAGATAGTGTTAAGGTTTGGTTGTTGCTTTTGCTACTGTGAACTGCTGTCCTTCTGCCATCTGCTACACTGCCTTGGAGCTGGCTTTTTGTGAACTGAAGCCTTTATAAACTGTCAGCTAAATAAACCTTTCCCCTTTTACTGTTGGGTGTCTTGTGTTTTGTCTCAGTAACAAGAGAAAAGCAACTAAGATACCAATAAAAGTTAAATTGTTAGAGGTTTATTATATCTTTAAAATTTTATCTTTTTTTAGCAGATTAAGTGTTTCTGTTTAGGTCATCAATCAATTTTAATTTTATCTTAATACATGCTGATAGTGGGTTTATTTTTTAAATAATTTTATTGATAAACAAATATCAATGAGATAGTTTCACAACTGATTACTGGCACATTTTCAATAATTAATGCATTGCATATTGTTGTCTTAGTGGTTATTCATTGTACAAGACGCAGACATGATATCTTCTCTCAAACACTATTATAATAATCCCATTCATTGAATTAAGAGAATGGAGCTGTATATCTATCCTGACTATTTTGAGTATACAGATATAAAAAGGTGGTTCATTTCTATCCCACTTTTTTGGTTAGTTTTGTCAGAGAAGGGCATAGTCTTCTACATGTGGATAGTGAGTTTCTTTAGCATTATTTTTTAAAGAGCCAATCTTTCTGACAGTGTATTAGATCCCCTTTTCAAAGATCAGATGGCTGAATGTCCCTGTGACTGTGTATCTATTTGTTTCCGATCCATATATTGATTCATTGTACCCAAAATATTAGCTAGAGTAATCAAGCAAGACATGATCACCTATATGTAAAACCCAAAAATTCTACCAAAAACTTCTAGAATTGGGCCGGTGAGATAGCTCCGTGATCTAAAGCGCCTGCTTAGGCAAGCTTAGACAAGCCCAGAGACCAATCCCCAGAACCCATACCAGCCCTACCACCAGGCTGGGCTGATCTGGCCACACACACACACACACACACACACCACACACACACACACACACACACACACACACACACACCACTTCTAAAATTAGTAATCAGTGCATGCCAGATAGCTCAGTGGACTAAAGAGCCTTCATAGGCAGAGCTCAGCAGCCAAGGTTCAATCCCCAACTGCTGTGCTGGCCCCGCCCCCAGTGCATGCTGGGACAGTGATTGAGACAGGGCTTGGTGGCAGGGGCCTGTAATCCTAGCGCTTGGGGTACTAAAAAACAGGAGAATTACTACAAGTCCACTCTGCATAGTGAGACCCTGTTAACCCTGTGAAATCTATATTAAATACATAAAAATAAACAAATAGAATTAGTAATCAAATTCAGTAGTATGTCAGAATACAAAATCAACAGACAAAAATCAGCAGCATTTCTGGTCCAAATAATAAACTTACAGAGAAAGAAATTATTAAGACAATAGCATCAAGAAAAATAAAATATAGGCCGGCCAAATAGCTCAGCAGATTAAAGTGCCTACAAGCAGGTGCGGGGGCCTGGGGTTTGATCCCCATGACTGCCATGTAGGTCCTGCCCCCGGGGCATGTAGAGAGGGCAATCGAGAGTGGGCGTGGTGGCCTGTGCCTGTAATCCCAGCCCTTGGGAGGCTGTAAACAGGCGGGTCACTACAAGTCTGATCTATGCAGTGAGACCCTGAATACCCTGTAGACCCTTCCCTAAAATACAAAAAAAAGATAATATATACTTAGAAATTAACCTAGCCATGGAACTGAAAAATTTTAGAATGAAAACTATAGTATTGTGAAAAAGGAGATTAAAGAACACATCAAAACATAGATATGCCATTCTGCCTCTGGAATGACAGGATCAGTACTGTCAAAGTGGTTATACGTCAAATAATGATATAAAAATTTAACATAGTCCCAATTAAAATGCCAATATGAGTGAAAACCCTAAAGTTCATATACTACCAGAAAAGACCCAGAGGAGGACTGGATCTTATTTGTGGTTTTACTTATATGAAAATTTATATAGAAGCAGAAAGAACAAAATTCATATGAAGTTAATAATACTGAGCAACAAGAGCAAGGCAGTAAGCATCACAATCCCTTTCCTCATGTCATGCTACCAAGCTATTGTGATTAAAAACAATATGGTTCTGATTTATTTCTATCTTAAAAGTGATAATTAAAATTACATTATTAGACTTGTTCATTGTTTTGGAATTGTATATGGTATGATACAGTCTTTAAATTTAGCATATGAATGTGAATGCCAATGTTAAATATGCCAAAATAAAAAGGAGAAAATAATAAACATGTTTACAAGTATGGACTGTGCAAGTGTTAATTACTTTGTAAATCATGTTGAGGTGTTAGATTACAACTCTGCTCACATCCTCTATGTCTTGTTTTTTTCTTCTCTTTCTTTCTTTTATTTTTTGTGGTACCAGGTATGGAACTCAGAACTTTGAACTTGCTGGACAGGAACTTAATGCCACTGAGCTATCTCCCTGGCCTCTTTCTATGTGTTTTGTGAGTCATGTTTCAGAAGAGCAAAATCTAGATGTGCGGATAAACTACATAACATTTTTTTATATCTCTTTATTTCAAACTGGGATGCAAACATTCCAAGAATATTTTATAGTTTGCCAAGAGTCTTATGAAAAAATTTAGTGATCTTTTATCATTAGTTTGCATGAAGATACTAGCTAGACACATTTTATTTATATGAAAATTTATATAGAAGCAGACAAAACAAAATTCATATGAAATTAATGAAAGAAAACAAGAGAGCTGGGGATATAGCTCATTGGCATAGTGCTTGCCTGACAAGCACACGGTCTTGAGTTTGAATCCCAGTACCAACAAAACAAATAAACAAACAAAAAACAAATAAAACATGAGCTAGTTTTATGTCTGTGGCATGTGTCTGGGAGATGTGGGTTAATTTTCATGTTTCTGTGCCAATAGACAACCTTTAGAAAAAAACTGAAAGTATTGCTGTAAAGCAAGGAGAAAGACTATTGTATGATTCATTCGTTTAGATTTGTTAGGCACATCTTTATGTGCTGTTTCAAATATCTATAGTGTATGTTTTATCCCTTAACATTACTAGCCTATAAAATTGCTAAAACAATTTTTCTTCGAATGGCATTTGACGTAATTCTAAAATTTGTCATTAATTTTTAGTTTGTAACACAATTTAGAAGCAAGTTCATTGATCAAAATATGAAGCCCCACACATTTTTCATCCAAAAAAGGTTAATTCTCAAAGACATTAAAGCTACTATATGATTCAGAAAAACAAAAGCAAAATCAATCAAAGTGAATGGTTATTTAAAGGAGCACATGGCTAGTTAATTTTAACTGATTTAACTTTTCCAAAGATTTGTTTAGAATCATTTATTCACAATGGAAAATCATTTTGTGAGTTCTTTTCACACATACTTCAATAATAATGTGACTTAAGAAACTATATATATATATATATATATATATATATATATATGTCAAAAGTTCTCAGTGTTGGTGGAATAGCTAAAATCAGAATAATGAGTGTTTATGAAACACAAGTGATTAAAATATGGAAATAGATAAACCTAACTGATGCTATTGGATATCTGCTTTGATGTCCTAAGAACTTTCACAACTCAGTAGGTAATAAAAACTAGAAA